CAACACTTCTTTGCATCATTAAACAAATGCTCCACAACATAAACAAATATAATACATCTTAAAGTAATATTCTACAACACACTTTCTTATAGGAATCCACACCTGACAATCAATCTTTCCTCAAATTATATCATAAAACAGTAATTTCTCCCTAACATGGCATACATTTTATTGTAATTCAAAATAAAATGTAATAAAAATTGATAGGAGCTACAAAGAAAAATGGTTTTATATTTGCAAAAAATAGCTGTGGCTAAGAAGAGCTGTGGCTGACTAATCAGGAAAGCTCTCCCTCAGAAAGCTGGGTAACATACAAATAATACCTATCTGAAAAGGCTGACAAGCTTCCAGGATTGCCAGGACTTGGAAGGCTAAGCTACTAAATAAAAACAAATTAAAATAAAGAATGTTATAGGTAAATAATAATAAAGATGAGAGAAATTAATATTTTGGGAAATGGATACAACACAGAGTAATCAACAAGACTGAAGGTACATCTTGAGAACCCTCATCAAATTTGTCAGGAATAAAAAGTATTTATCAAGAATGAAGATGAAAATAAGATATATACTCAAAATCCAACACAATAGTATCAAAAAAGATTCAGTAGCATATTAAAAACAACTGTAACCAACTGAGCTTTCCTGATGATATGCCAGAGCCCTTTGTACCATGTGATCTTAGTAAATGGGCCTGTTATTAGTCATCTTGACACAAACTAGAGTCCCCCAGGAAGAGGAAACCTCTACTAAGGAATCGCTTTAATCAAATTGGCTTGTAGACATGTCTATGGAGCATTTTCTTGATTAATTTTTGATGTGGGAGAGCTCAGCCCACTGTGGGCAGTGCCACCCATTGGCAGGTGGTTCTAGGTGGTATAAAAAAAAAAGCATGCCAGTAAACAGCATTCCTCTATGGACTCTGAGTCAATTCCTGCCTCCAGATTCTTGCCTTGTGTTCCTGCCCACATTTTCCTCAATAATGGACTGTGACAGGGAAGTGTAATCAAATTAAAATATTTCTCCTCAAGTTGGTATTGGTCAGTGTTTTATCACAGCAATAAAAGGCAAACTAATATGATTAAGTAAAAAAATTATGAAAATCAATACAATATTTTTAAAGTCTCTTTCTAATATGTAAGAATTGAAGGGAACATAATTATAATGTGTAAGTTATTCCGAACTTGATAAAGAAATATTACACATTTTTCTTTGGGTATTAAAAATTTTAAAAAAAAAAAGATAGCCTTAGGATGATATATATTCTATACTGTATTAGAGGTTTTGACAAGTGTAAGGAAATGAGATCAGCAGATACAAAGGATGCCAAATACACATTGGCTATAAAGGAAAACAATCAAACTTACTCTTATTTTAAAGCAACATTGATTTTGAAGTTTAAAGTAATCTACCAATAAATATGAAAATTATTAGATAAGTATAATAAGGCCCTAAATAAAGGTCCATTTAAAAATCAAATATATATGCATATATGTGTATATATATACATACATATATATGTATATAAATCTAGCAATAAACAATTAGAAAGTGACCTTAGATATGTTATTGCTGTTTACAATAGCAATAAATCACCAAACAGTAGTAAATTTAAGCAAATATGTCCAAAATATTCATTCCTGAGTTCTGAAGAGAAATAAAGTGAAAATAATGATAAAGATAGTGTTCACAGATTGATTCCATGTTCCGAAGCTAGAAAGAGTTTGTCCACATTTATCTAAAAATTCAACTCAATTCCAACTAAAATATCAGTGGCTATTTTGTCCAAATTGACAAGATGATTCCTAAATTCAAATGTCAAGAAGCAAAACTATGAATTTGAAAAATATTTTTAAAAAAGCAAAACCTAAGTATTGTCAGGAATGTGAAGCAATTGGAACCACGAATGGGAGTGTGAGTGGGTATACCATTCCAGAAGACTGCACTCCAGCCCAATAATACTCCAGAAGGGAAAACACATAATAACAAAACTCATCATTGCTCCAAACTGAAACAGCACAAATGTTTATCTGTACTAGTATGAATAAGCAGATAATGAACTATTAATATAATAAAAAAAATTAACTGCTATATAACAAATGAAGAATCCCACAAATATGCTATTGAATAGTAGATGATAAAGTTGTAATATTGTCTAATTTTGTTCATATGAAACTGAAAAAGAGAGAAAGATAATTGGTGGTGGTGTAAGTTCTAATTGTGAGGAAGTGAGTGTGACGTGGAAGGGGGGTGAGATTGACTTTGAGTGCTGGCAATCTTTTTGTGAACTTTTAATTGTCGACATGTGATATATATGTCATATATAATTTTGTGAGTAATTAAGAATCAATACAATTTATTTTAACATATATGAAATCAAGAAAATTCTGAATAACTTAGAGCATGGGATTGGGCCAGCTCTATGGAATATTGTGATGCGTTATGGATCAATGTTACTTAAAAAGACCATGCGAGTCAGACAGAACAGGCAGCAATGGGAGCAGAGAAACAGATCCCAGAATGAACTTGAATGCCGAGTGGAAGCCTTGTGTTGTGTATATGTACACAGATCCTATAATGTGTAGCAGTAGGTTTCAGTAGGCTGAGTGGATAAATCAAACTAAAATTCAGCATTGTCAAAAGGAAGGAAATCTGTCAAGCAAACACTTAAAACCATACACCCAAAGTAAAATGAACAGTAAAAGCTCCTGTCATACCTCAACTAGCAGAAAGAACTGATGTATCCCACAGGACCCGTTTCTCTCTTTAAGATGGGTGGCAGGAGGCAAGAATAATAAACTTTCTTATTGTCTTTAAAAGGGTCAGAAAATTGACCCCATACCTTTTAGAGCAGAAAGGATCTTGATTTTGCTTTGGGAGAAGTTGGATAAAAGAGCTTAAATAGAATGACCAAGGTTCAGGTTCTCTCTGAGACATTTCCCCTGTGATCACAGATGGTCGTGGGTGGCTTCTGTGAGCATCCCTCTGACTTCTCATCCTGTGGAAAGGTGGGTGTCATCATCCTGCACTCCCTTCAAAAGCCTTGTTGAATTGCTTTGGCTCCAAATATTCCATACGCATTTTGAACCAAATGGGAGGTGTAGAGAAATGCATGGATCTGAGTTATCTGGTACAGAATTCTATGCTCCATATCCAAGCTAAAGAGGCTTTAGAGGCCATAGAGGCTACGGAGAATGTGGTACACTCTAGAGGGAAACTAGTGTAACCACACAGAAGAGGCTGAATATATTCCTGGTCACAAAATGTCCTCTCGAGGGTGAAATACACTTGGAGTAGGTACATGAGAGACATTTTTAACTTTGTCTTGACCTTTGCTTATCAGTGTTAAAAACTAGAGTGCTGCTAAGGACTGGGCATATTTCCACCCATCACCCACCCCCAAATTCAGATATAGGACCAAGAGGATGCTACTTGGAGGCAAAGGCTTGGGAAGTAATAAGGTCCTCATAGTGGATCCCTCATGATTTGAATCAGTCTTCCTATAAGAACAGACAGAAGAAAAGTAGACTTTACTGTGAGTGCTTGCCACAAACAGGAATAAGCACCAGCATCAGATCAGCTGCCACTTCCATCTTGTACATCTCAACCTCCAGAACTGTGGGACATAAAAGCCTATTGTTTAATCCAGGCAGACTAGATCCTTTGTTAAGGCAGCTCAAACCGACTAAAATGATGATCAGATCTTGCTGTGGGGAAAAATAAAGGCATAATGAGGTAGCAAAGGGTTCTCCATCTTCTGTATTCCCCAGCCCTGCATTCTACGTTTTCCGCAGCTATTTGAGTGACAGCATTTGTTTACATTAGCTGCCCTAGAATGAGAGCAGAGTGCTCACGGAAATTGATGACGCTGCCACTGTGGAAAGACCATCTTGTTCCGAAGGAGCTGTGTCTTTTTTAATCCTTTCTTTCTATTACTGGTTTTAAATAATGTTTCTGACAAGATCCTGCTTCTCTTTCTGTCAACTGTCAGGGAACAGGTATTGGGCATTATTTGTGGGGCTGTAAATACATTACATGAAAAAATAATGAGTCCTCACAAAGTCGGGAACAATGCCTCCAGAGACATTTACCTAACATGATTTATGTAGGTCCGGGAATGAAGTTTCAGAAACTTCCAAATGGAAAGCCTGGATCATAAAATAAAGTCTCTGCCAGATCCGACTTTGGTATAGCCCCTGGACACATTTCCCTTTTACTTTTAATATGGAAGTTAGAAAAACGCTTTTTATGTTCAACTTAAATTGTTTAGTTAATGGTCTAAGAATAACTCTAGGGAGTACCCCTCAGCATAGCATGTTATTACTCCATTCTTCCGACTGAACTTGATGGATCTATTGTGTTCTTGCTGCAGAAGCTGATCCCTGGGATTAATCATCCCCTTTACTAGCTAGAAATTGTAGACATTTAATGGATATATCTACATCCATCAATTTAATGAGTCTCATTGTCTAGGGTTTGAAATAAACTAATCACTCTGATGTTAAAATATAATTGATGTTCTTCCTCATTCCAAGTTTTCTAGGTTTGTCTTTCCTGCCTGCCTGGAGAGGCCAGTTTAGTTTTAAGCTGCTTTCTTCTCTTTCGTTCATTTAACTGGGGCCTTGGAACTCAAGTGCATCTACTGTTTAAGGTACAGACAGGCTAAACAGTCTTATCCTCTTTACTTGAGCGAGCCACTTGACTTCTGCTTCCTTGACATCATAGTAGGAATTGTCATCGTAGTAGGAATTGTTCTGTTACCACCACCTGAGGTATCTCCGGAAGCCTGGCAGTGGACAATAATAGGACAGTGCCATGACTGTGGCATGAATCACTGGGCAGAGAACCAAGGACATCAACTGACCTGATGACGGGAGCTCAAGGCCCAAGTGGTGGCTTGCCACGGGAAGGAGGATTGCCCGGCCATCAAAGTTACAATAAATAAGCTGTACACAAATCTGAGTCATAATCAGTCAGACTGGGTCTCTGTTTTGTTTTCAGCTGTTTGAATTTATGAACTTCCTGGCTGAGAATGTCATCTTCTGCTACATGGGCCTGGCTCTCTTCACCTTCCAGAATCACATTTTCAACGCTCTTTTTATACTTGGAGCCTTTGTATCCTTTGGAGAAAAAAAAATAGAAAAATGGTTAAACCTTTTTCCTAGTAGAACTTTGAAGACATCATAGAAGTCAAGATGACAGTTTTACTATCAACATCAAAAGCATTATGCATATGCAAGTTTATTTCTATCAAATAACGCCTTCTGGGATTGTAGAGTTAGCTCAGCCAGGGAAGTATTTGCCTTACAAGCATGAGAACCACAATTCAAACCCCAGAATCTAAAAAAAAAAAAAAACAACAACAACAACAATTTTAAAAAAAAAAAAAAAAAGCTGGGCATGGTGGTACATGCTTGTAATCCCAGTTCTGGAGAGGCAGAGACATGCGAATCTCTAGGACCTACTGGCCAGGCAGCCTAATCTAATCAGTAAGTTACATGCATGCATATGTGCACACACACCCCAGAATATACACACACACAGAAAGAGAGATATCATTTCCTTCCTAGGAGAACAGACACTTTTAATACAGAAGGTTCTCCTTCTGCAGGGCTGGAGTAGGAGGCAACCCCCATGGAAGCAAGTATCTGGCCACAGGGACACTGAGCAACTACCTGCAGCTATTGTCCATAGCACTTGGAAAATGAGATGCTGCCTCCGTCAGTCACAGGCAGATGATCCTAACTTCTGGAGAGCTTGCCATCTTCCTGTTCCCACTCTTCACCTGAATTGGGTGTCAGTCCCTCACCACTGGGATTCTGTTGAACTCTCAAATATCCCCTGAAACCTAGATCTTAGAAAGAAGGAAGTTATCTCACTCCAAATAGCTTCATCCTGCAGAGGACAAGCTAGAACAGACAGACCACCAAAGAAGGAATAGAGACAATAGCAAAGGGAGGAAGCTTATGGCTGAGCTTTTCAGTAGCTGTTCACTTACGAGACTTTGACTTTAGGGAAGTCTCCTGAAGTAGCAGTTATATTATATACATTGACAGTCATCTTTTCTCAAAAAAAAAATCCACTAAATGAAATGGGTAAGCAAGCTTGCTAGAAACAGACACATGAACTGATGGGAAGTGAGACGGAAACCACCATCAGAAATAAATTTATTCTTTCCAAAGTGCTGCTGGAGAAGCTAATACCATCATACCGGGGCGTCGCTACCTCACAGCTTCCAGCAAAATTGAGGATAGAGTCAGTCACCAGCAACGTAAATGTGATGGGAAAATTTAGTGATTGAAATGGCATTGCAGAACCAACTTTCAGCCAAGCATATGTTCAAAGACAGACAGAGTTTTATGTCATCCTGGGAAGGAATTGACATTGAACGATGAATTTGGTGAGCGAGTTAGACATAGATGAGTTGTCATGTTTATACTTGTTTTCTGGGTCATATCATAGAGAAGCAGATGGACATGATATCTGAGCCTGCTCAGTCAGCCCCTCTGCAGCAATATTTTCCTCAATGTGTCCCAACAGCTAGCAATTTTTGTTGCCAGAGCCTGCAACATTTACCCCCTCTCCTTCCTCCTGAATCTGGGCAGGAAACAGAAGATCGCCTGGAACTTCCAGCACATGATGATGTTTTCAGGTATGTGACTCATTGTACTCTCAATGCTGCTGCTGTCCCGCCTCTGCAGAGCACAGAAAGTCATGGGGGACCTGAGTTTTCTTTACCCTTGGACCCAGCACCGTGCTCATCCCACAGTGATGAGCAACAGGGAGTGCTCATTCCCAACGAGAAGGGAAGTTAAAGGGAATTTACAGGTGTGGCCTTGAGTATCTGACCAGAAGTGAGCCTCAGCTGAGCACGGGACTTCCCTCTGAGTTATCAGAGCAGTTTCCATACTGAGGAATTTAATTACAGTCTTCTCAGTTGCATGTCCCAGGATACAGTATTGAAGGGTGCCACCCTTCCTCCCCATGCTTTTACCATCCGGGCAGGGCTCCAGAAACTTCTCCTGGTTACCACAAAGCTAATCAGGTCCATGTAGGCTCAGTTATTAGTTGAAAAAAACATGTTAATTAAGTACCAGCAGGTGCCCAAGAGTGGATCCAGGCTCTGTAATGCATTGCTAAGATGTGGACAGAGGCTCTTTTCCAGAAGAGAATACAGCAAATGAGTTTTCTGACCACTGAACTAGTCTGAGGGATTGCAGTTGCTTTCTATCTAATGATCTTCCCTGACTGGAAACAGAATTCAAAGACTCTGTGTATCTTCTATTTGTGTGCACACCTACAGTGCCTTTAGAAGAGTTCATGGGCAGGTCCATGACATTAAAGTGAAAAATATCTGCCGTCAAAACAGTGCCAAGACAGCGGGGGCACCTAGGAAAACATGAACAAAGTGATGGAAACCAATATTGATTGATATGCATTGTTTGCTGCTTATAATTCACCAGTCCTAGGACGCTAATATTAAGTTGTTTTGTGCATAGGATCTCTAACAGCTTAAGTAATTAGGCCAAGGACAAAAGCATTTGCAATCCAGACTTCACCTCAATGCCAACCAAGCGTTTTGAAATTCACATTTTAAAAATCATTTTATTATTTTATGAGTGTGGGTGTTTTGTCTTGTCTACATATGTATCTATACCACAAATGTGTGCTTAGTGCCTATGGAGGCCAGAAGAGGGCATCAGACCCGCTGAAACTGGAGTTATAGATGGTGATTAGCAACCATGTGGGTGCTGAGAATTGTACCCACATTCTCTAGAAGAGCAATCAGTGTTCTTAACCACTGAGCCATCTCTCCAGCCCCAAAATTAACATCCTTTAAAGTGGTCCTTGGAGTAGAAAGTTTGTTCCCTCCTTAATTCTGTGCTACCCTGGCCCACAGAGCACTTGGTGCAGCTCCCAGGTTTGGAATTAGTTGTCTTATCAAATACAGGCACATGGAGATCCACAGTTAAAGCTTATCCTTCATAGGCCCTCTGACCGGGCTTACTAATACTTCCAGACATGCTATGTTGCGAGATTCATAAATAAGTGAGGTGTCACTGGGCAGTGGTAGTACACGCCTTTAATCCCAGCACTCGGGAGACAGAGCCAGGCGGATCTCTGTGAGTTCGAAGACAGACTGATCTACAGAGCGAGATCCAGGACAGGCACCAAAACTACACAGAGAAACTGTCTCGAAAAACCAAAAAAAAAAGAGGTGAGGTGTCAAATTGACAGTGATCCATGACTTAGGGCAGCACTGAACCTTGACAGTGTGCTACTTCTCTTGTTGGAAAGTAAAGGTAACCTTATTTACTTAAAACTTGAAAGCCAGCACTGGGGTGTGAAGTGTTTCCCGTCAAAACATCCATAGCTTTCTTACTGATATCTTATTTAGAACGCCTGGCATTTGATTACAAGCATTGTTTTATTAGGCAAAGATGTTTTAGTAATAAATCGAGATTATAGACATATGTGCAAACTCTCTGCCCAAATGACCACCTGGCTTGATGGCTTCTTTGCAATTTGGCAATGTATAAGTTTGCTTAGCTATAGGATTGGAGCTGCAGAAAAACAAGCAAACAAACCTTAGTAGAGGCCAACAATGTGGTATATTCAGACAAGGACTGATAGAAGTCCATAATTTGATGGTGTCTTCATGATATTCTTTTTTGAACCCTTTCTTTGATAAGTTCACAGATGAATATAATAAATTTTAGTCCTTTTAACCTCCCATTGCTCTCTGTTATCCCCCTTACTCTCCACTAAAATTCTTTCTCTTTCTAACAAGTCCCCCTACCCCTTTTGTGTCTTTTTTATTTAGTTTTTAATGACACAAGAGGCTTAATTGTAATTGCTTGCATGAGCCTAAGCAGAGGGTAATGTACTGGATCCTGGGCAGTTTATCTGTGAGTTCACAACCCCCAACAGTCATTAATGGTCCATAGTCCCTCGGTGGGGGAAGGTAGCTTGGCATATGGTCTAATGAACCCACACTTGGTAAAATGGTGATAGACCTAGTCTTATGCAGATCTTGTGCAGGTAACTACAGCAAATATGAGTTCATGTATACAATAACCAGGTCAGGTCCAGAAGATATACAACACTCTTCCCCATCCTCTGGCTCTCACATTCTTCCTGCTTTCTCTTCCACAATGTTCCCTGAGCATGAAGGAATTGACTTAGTCCATTGAGACCATGGACTCCACTGTCAATTTTTCTGAGCGAGTCTGTACAATGACTGCAGCTCACTGTCCAAAAAAGCTTCTCTGACAAAGACCGAGAGAAGCACTAATGGCTGGATATAAATGTAACTAGTCACAGGGTAGTTGATGCCATGTCCATTTAGCAAAATGACAGCAATAGGTTCCCCACTAGAACCCATGACTGCTGCAGCCATGGGCACACTACCAAGTTTACAGCATCAGGCATGAGTTCCTTCCTGTGCACTGGGCTGTAAATCCATTCATAATGTGGTTGGTTATTTCATACTGGTCATGCCACTATTGCCCTGTTGAGCACATCTTGCCTTTCAGTTTGTTATTGTAGTCCATGGGGTCCACAGCTGGGTAGGATTTTTGCTGGCTTTCTCCCACAGTGTAATACAGCCTGACACGATGAAATATAGTCAGCAGAGAGGAGGCTCCCACATCAACTCCACTTGCCTTCTCTGTGTCCTGTAACCCAAGCCTATAGCAGCCTCAACAATGGGGTCTTATCTAATTCTAGTGGGAAACCAAGAACTGCAAACCAAACAATATTCAATATCGTTTGGGGGGCTTCTGAGGCCTCCTTGACCAAAACAACTCATCATAGGGAGGAAGCTTGCAGCTGGTACTAGGTTTGTCATTTAATAGCCTTCAGTTTCTAGGGGAATATTATCTATCCACAGTACATCTACTTAAACCATGTGAGAGGAAGTGTGTGTGTGTGTGTGTGTGTGTGTGTGTGTGTGTGTGTGTGTGTGTTAAATGCTCTCACATTCTAAAAGGTAAACAAGACTCCTTAACCCTGATGGAGTTGAAATGCTTGGTTTAATTCATGGGGATGCTGGTTAGCTCACCACTACAACCAATAGACTAGCAAATCTAATCTTCAAGACACTTACCTCTATGTGACCCTGATGTACAGAGAATGTTGTGAGCTGTCAGCATCTGCCTCACTTGCCAAGAACTGACTGAAATGAATCAGAGCAATACAGAGATTAAGTTACTTCTACATGTTTTTAATAACAATTTTCTTGCAAGTGAATAATATTCATAGTATTGCTTGGTATAATCAAAAAAATACTGGCGTTCCCATTAAACAGCTGGCCTCTTTTTCAAACATTTTTCCATGTTACATAACAATGTGATGGGGCCCAATGATGCCACAAGTCAGAAGTCACATTTTGTCTTCCCAAAGCCTTTGAAACTCATGGCTGGGGCAAGACAGGCAGAGATTAACAGCCTTTGTTTCTTGGTTGTTATTTTGTTTCATTTTTTCCCTTTAATTTTTTTGTGAATAGACATGACATAAACTTTATCATCTTAAATGCACAGTTATTAGATACGTTCCTAAATTGTTTGATGACCACCACCCAGAGACACGCTCTTTTCATCTCATAAAATGGAAACTGTATGTATTAAACAAAAGCTCCCCATCCCCGTTCAGCCCCCTAGAAACTACCATATTACTTTCTGCTTCTGTGATTTTTGACTGCTGTGGTTTCTTCATTTAAATGTAATTGTGCTATTTTGTCTTTTGTGACTGCCTCGGCATAGTGTCCTCAGTGTTTGTCACTGTTGTAGAATAATACAGAATTTCCTTCCTTTTCAAGTTGAATGATAGTCCCTTATGCATGTGTATGAATAGCATTTATTGCTTATCCAATCAAACTCTTGGGTTTCTTTTTTTCTTTCAGATAGTACAAAACAACCCTGCTAAGAACATGGGGTACATCTCTTTAAAACCCTGCTGGCAATTTTAAATATATATCCAGAAGTAGAATTGCTGGATTATATGGCAATTCTACCTAATTATTTGGAGAACTATCATGCCATCTTCCATAACAGCTGTAGTGTTTCATAGTCCCACCAATGGTGCTCAAGGGTCCCGATCTCTCTATACCATCACCAACACGTGTTCACTTGTCATTTATGGTAGCCATGCTCACCATATGAGGTGGCAGCACATTGTTTTAATTTACATTTCCTTGCTTACTGTGAAGTGTTGAGCATCTTTTCAGGAACACATTGGCCATCCACCTTTTTACTCATTTCAAATTAAGTCTTGTCTTTTGGTCGACAATTTTCAAATAGTCTGTTTCCTAGATATTGGCCTCTTATAAGATAGATAATTGGCAAATGTTCTCTCCCATTCCATTTGTTTCTGTCATGCTGTGCTTATATTGTCTTTTGATATGCAACATTTTTCAAACTTTTCATGAAGTCCAGTCTGTTATTTAATTTTGTCCTCTGTGCCTTTGGTGTTCTACCACAGACACCATTGCCAAATATGATGTCACAAGGATTGTGCCCTGTATTCTCCAAAGAATGTAATAGTTTTAAGCTTTGCTTAGTTGTTGGTACATTTTGTATATGTCTAATTTGGGAGTACACCTTCATTCTTTAACACCTGAATATCCAGTTGACCCACTATCATTTGTTCAAA